ATTTTGAAGAGAAGAAAATTCTGAACAAGAATAGTTAAATAGGTTTCGGTTCTCACATTTATTATTGAAACTATAATCGAATAACTTTTTTTTTTCTTTGCTCACGACATTTTGGTCACGCCGATGTCTAACCCACATCCACCCACGCCCACATCCGACGACATAAAAACAGCGACTATACTCTATAATAAAAAATACAAAAGAGAAGAACAGTGAGGCTGTAGTCAACGGAGCGTATGTGACTGTACTTAAGAATCTGGTGGATATGAATTTGGGTGATGATGATTTAGGAGAGAGGCACAGTGGGCAACCAGGCGACAAAATCGATCTTTGCGATTTGAATCCAAATTATAACTATCATTAAAGATATTATGCTTCTCCGTTTAACTGTAGCCTGGGCTCTGACTGAAATTGAGCATCCGTAATACAGCAGCTATAGTAAAGTAGAAGAATCATATAAAGATCGTCAACAGCGCTATATAAGAAACGTTTCTAGTTTTGATTGATAACGTAGTTATAACCAACCGTTGTTATACCATTATATAGAAGTGACTGTTTACTGTATATTATAGATGATTAGGATTTCTTCATGTTGTTTTATGCTTTGATAAGACCAGAAAATTATACTTAACACAACAAGAGAATGATTACTGGTGAGTGATATAATGTTGTCGAGGGACAACGCAGAGGCTTTTCTTGCAATTTTAATTTAGCACTTATTAAATGTGTCATCACCTACCTTCGGTGGATGCGCAAAGATGCAGATGTAAGTTCTTAATGGGATACAAAATCCCAAATATAACCTTCAATGCAGATCCGTTCAGAATGACTTCTTTAATTTATACTTGTCCTTCAGATCAATGACGTTTCAAATAGGCAATAAAAGCGCAAATAGATACGTTTTATAGATTTCTACATCGACTGTCTGGTTCTACACATAATCCATAGGTAGTTTCCAGCTTTGAAATTCTTGTTGAGAAATGTTAATAACTCACGACGAAACCTCTCCAACTGCTAAAATGTTTCTGGATCGAGACTATGTTCATTTGATGAGCGCACGTGAGTGTTCAAAAAGTTCAGAATGATTTAGTTATTCCAGACATTCGTTCTTATGACATCGGATTTTTAGGATGAGGTTGTGGGTGCGGGTGTGGTGAGTGTGGGTTTGGCCGTAGGCGTGAGCGAAGTGTGGATATAGGAGTGCGTATAGGTGTGTGTGGATGTAGGTCTTCTGTTCATCCATACCCACACCAATACCTACATCTACACCCTACGCATACCTCACACCCAATCCCACTGTGCTCGCTCTCTCTTGTTAAGATCTGAGTGGGAGTGGATGAGAGTGGGATCAGAGTGGACACATTAAAGTGATATTTGATAGTTTTGTCTAAGGTTTTTTTGGAGAAAATGGATCAGAGTGGAGTGTCATGAATGGAGAATTTTATGCTCTTTCGAATGATACTATCTTCTAATTAAACGTCGGTTAGAGCGGATGAGAGTGGGTGAGAGTGTATTTTACTAATACTCTTCGGTATTTGAGTCTTTAAATCATCTAAATCTTGTACTGGTGTTCTGTAGGCATTTGTTTTAAAATGTCTACATAGAAAGAAGTCAAATGGTGTTGACAGGCATGCTTTATGTGAAGATATTTTTAAACGTTTATCAAGTTTTTGTTCGTTCGGATTAGTTCGAGTGAAAAGGCAGCTTCTTTAAAAGAAGCAATGACAATAAATATCACTGATCGGGAGGATAGACTCAAGCACATCTTTTTTGCAAGCAGTCCGTTCCTGGCTAAATGAAATCTTCAATGATAGGCAGATTGGAAGAAGCGGACTAATGTCATGAGCTTCTTGATCACCAATTTTAATACTATTGAACCTCTTTCTGTACGGACATCTTATAACAAATACTTACAGAACACCAATACAAGATTTAGATGATTCAAAGGCTCAGATATCGAAAGAAATCCAAATAGGAAACGATGAAACTCTACGTGAGTTGTTTTTCAGAAATTGCGAAACGTTTACATTTTTGTATTGAAGTTAAAGGTAATGCGTTTAAACTGTATTTATAATATTAATGCTGTTTGATGAAATATATTTCATCAAACAACATGTATATTTTAAAACGTCTAACCACTAAACATGGTCGAGGTATATTGAAAAAAATTAGATTATGTAAAAAACAATATCTCAAATTATTGAAAGCGCAGTGTCACACCGAATCCCTGCGAATTTCATTGATTTATAATCTTACACCAAATTTCGTACATTATCGCTTGTGGAATCAAAAATAAGCTCATAATAGAATACATAAACTTCATCAACGTCACTACCTGCAATTACAATATCATAATAAATGCAAGCAAACTCATCAGTTCTATCAACAAGAGCAAACAATGTTACCTAATAGAAATAATAAACTAAATCCATTTGAACGCAAATTATTAAAAGATTATTTTGACAGATGATGAGAAAAAGAAACAAAATTGGAACAATTCATTCAAAGAAGATTTCCGCCTTATCCAATGGAAGTGTGATCTTACCAGACATCGACCACAAAAGACTGTACACAATATATCTTCTCGCGAAATGTCATGAGAAGAGAAAACCATTTTTTCCAAAGGTTTGGAATTCTGTACTGAAATTAAAATAAAATACACTTTACAATTCAAGACCGAAATAGACATGATGACGTACAGAATACTGAAACCATTGAATGAATCCGATACAAAGTCTTTAGATCAATGTTTAATTAATTTTATCAAACGCTCAGCTTATCAAACATTAAAAATTAATAAAAACAAGAAACTTATTAATATTAACTATGATGAATGAAGAGGATTAAAGATATTATTAAATGATAAATTAGTTGTATTAATGAAAGTCGACAAGAAAGATCATGCGTCGTAATTGACAAAGAACAATACATTATGAAAGTGGAACAACTACTATCAACAAGCAACACATTTAAAAAGATGAGCGATACAGATGAAAAAGACAATGTTAACACTATTGAAAATGTAGTTTAAAAGATGGAGGGAAAAGTGAATTACCGTATTAATGAATTTAAAGGAAGAAATAATTAGTATTAATAATGAAGAATTCAAATGGATTAGACCAACTGGAACTGGATGTCCCATATTATTCCATCAACCAAAAGTACACAAATCAGGCATGCCTGTACGTCCTGTTATATCTACTTCCAATAGTTATATTTACAACCTATCTAAATATCTCACAGATTTATTAGAAAAAGTAAGAAACAAGCCATCTTCTTATATTAAAGGTTCATTTATTTCTGCTAAATTAATACAACAACAGAAACCATCAAAGAATGATTTTATGATAATCCTTGACGTGAAGTCATTGTTTACCTCAATTTCTGTACATCAATCGATCAATTTAGTAATTGAAACAATTTTTGAAAAAGAAAATGAATGATCCATCATTTACAAAACTTGATGAAGAAGATTTACGACACCTATTTGAACTATGTGTAACAAATATGCCTTTCCGATTTTATGATGATCTATATCAACAAACAGAAGGCGTCAGCATGGAATCACCATTAGCTCCAACATTCGCCGGTCGTTTTATGACTCGTATCGAATCAAAATTAGAACAATATGAAAACAAAGATAAAATTAAAACCTATTATCGTTATGTAGATGATACATTTATAATTATGAATGAAAAAGATAATGATACTGATAAATTATTGGACTATGTTAATTCTTTACATCAAAATATTAAATTTACTTGTAAAAGAGAAAACAACTTTGAACTTTCATTCTTGGATGTAAAGATCATACGCGAAAGAACAAAATTCGAAGCGATGGTCTTCAGAAAGAAGATACATACTGGATAACTTCTGCATTGGCACAGTTGTGAAGCAAAGAAATACAAAGTTCACTTAATACGAACTCTAACTCATCGTGCACTTTTTATCTGCACATCCAATATCTTACTAAACGAAGAATATAGAACAATTGAATCTTTACTATTACAAAATGGTTATCCTCGCAACTGAATCAGAAGAAAGATGAAGAACACCATGAATCAATTTAATCAAACAAAATCACAAAAAACACTCAAGAAGACATTCTTTACACCCATTACTTATCATGAGCATGAAACTATTCTGATGGCAAACAAAATCAAAAACCTGATAGAACGAATTTATTCAATGATTAATGTTTTCTTCGGTTACTGTAAAGATTTCTCACTCTCAAAACTTTTCACAAAAAACTGCAAATGAGCAGATCCTATGAACATATGGGTGGTTTATAAACTGACATGGAAAAAATGCAACAAGGTATACATTGTTCCAACTCATTTCGACGTCCACCATAGAATGAACCGACATAAAAATGGTTTAAAAGAATAAGAAAAAAACTGTCGCAGCTGATCATGTACATAGAAATAAAGGTCACCAAATTAGTTTCAATGAACCTAAAGTTCTGACAAGAGACAATAGCAAGAAAAGAAGAGAAATTAAAGTAACACTTCTGACTCTAAAACATCCAAGCTCATACCACACAATATCGCTCAAACTGGTTATCTTTGAATGAAGTTATTATTAATTAAAATGAAGGGGAGAAACATTGCACTACTACGACATCATTTCTCTTCTTCGCACTACAATGTTAAAGAAGAAAACAAAAAGACAAAAGCAATTAATCTGTATATATATATAATCTTAAATTTCTTTCATATCACTTTAATGTTGAAAATGATCCTTAGAAAATGGTCGAAAGCTTCGCTGTATATATATATTTGTAAAGCAAAAATGATTGATGAATTAGTTTATCTCGTAACAGTACTTATGAACCTTGTCTTTACGAAAAACAAACTTACTAGTCTTATCTATCAAATAAAAAAAAATATTAGATAAAGCTTTATTAATAAGAGAGTTATACGCATTTCTTAAGTGATCATGACTTTTGGGACACTTGGTATGTGTATATACCTCCTTTTTGGGATGAAAAGAGTAGAAGATTTAGGAGATCTTTAGAATTATTCATATAATCACATATGTACATACCGACATCCCAAAAAAAAATGGAGGGTGTATAGATATATTTTTATATGAATAATTCTAAACACCCTTTAGATCCTCATTTCTATTTGAAATGAAGTATCTTTTTTTCTTCTAAATTCAGATTCAAATCAAATAGTTCATTATATGAAATTTTTTCTCCATTTATCTTAAACTGATGTAAATAACTTGTTACATTGTCGATGAAGAATAACACTTGAAGTTTCTGGAATATTGTACAAAACGAATTCTAGTCGATAAAATATGTATTTTCGAGGGTACTATGACGATCTTGGTATCTTTACTCGGGCAGAAGGTGATAGCAGAAAACCAAAAGAAAGTAAGCATCTCCAGTAGAGTGTAGCTTTTTTAATAGAATTTTCAGTTCTATGATACGTATCACGACTAAGAAAAGAAGCAATAAAAGAGTAAGTTTCTTAGCTTTTGCAATCCTAGTGCCTCTTGCAGAAAAGTATGGGAGAATTTTGACGCTCTCAAAACTTCTGCTCCATAGTCATCGAACTCTATTTGTTCAGGAAGCTTCCAATTATTTTGGTGAGCAGTTCTCAAGAAACTCCAGAAAGGACTGTCTCCCGCTAACTAATTAGATCGACTCTTGAACGATATTTCGGATTGAAAGACAGGTACACATATTCGACTGTATAAAACTTGTTTTGCTGTTGACAAATTGAGATTGTTTCGAACTAAAACCATGACTTACGAAGAACATTATTGGTTATATTACTATATTTCATATAGATAAACGTATATTTCTAGACTTTGTCCATTCAATTCGAAGAAAACTGATCCCTGAGAGTGAAGCATGTTTCAATAATTGTGTATGTATGATGATCATCGCAACTCATAAAATATGAAACAAAAAAGACTTATATGCTACAAAAATTTTTCTGGCAGACTCGGCTCACTCTCAAAAGACATACAATTTTTGTCTAACACAAATGACTGTGAAAACTTTCCAGCTTTCTAATGCAGCTACAGCTATTTAAGTACTTACATAGCTATTTAATTCTTTCATAGCTACTTAACTATTTGCATAGCTATTTAAGTTTTCCATAGCTATTTAAGTATTTATATAACTATTTAAGTATTTGCATAGCTATTTAAGTTTCTCATAGCTATTTAAGTATTTACATAGCTATTTAAGCTTTTCATAGCTATTTAAGTTTTCCATAGCTATTTCAGTATTTACATGGCTATTTAAGTATTTGCACAGCTATTTAAGTTTCCCATAGCTATTTAAGAGAGGGTCCGCCAGAAAACCAGGTAAAAAAAAGGGACTTGGCCGGGCCAAAAATTTTGATTTTGGATTTGATCTTCTGAAACGAAAGGCCTTTTAGAGTTAGTACTAAATCTAAAATATTAGCTTGATCTGACTATCCATTGCTGAGTTCTGAAGTACACTTCGTAACAGGGGTAATAGACCTAGGGAAAAAATTGTCATTTTTCGTACTCTTAATGTGATACAAAAGTACTCCACTATTTCGAGCATTAACCTAGTAACGACCCTTGCAAAAAGAAAGAGCATTGTTTTTTCTATCAGGCCATGTCTTTTCGGACTCTCCACAAACATTATTATGTGGACAAACAAGAGCCAACAAAGTATTTTTTACCAAACAAATATTTCAATTTTTCATAGTATTTCGACCCTTTCGACATGAAAATGGAGCTTACCCATAAATTTTATGACACCAGAAGATAGCCCACGAAAAACTGCATCTTCTGATGTAAAAATATCTGAGAAAAACGATGCTTGGCTGATTCAACTTTTTCAAACAAAAAGCGCCACTACACGCCTTTTTTTGTGTTCATTATAGGGTACACTAAAACATTGTGTACCTTCGTTTTCGACTATTTGATTTAGAACCTCAGCCATTTTTTCAGCATCAATAGTGATCACTAAGACCTGCAAAACTATCAAGACAAGGACTTCCAAATAAGCTGTCTTCTATATGTTCTCTAGTACATACCATCCCCAATATAGAGAAAGATACCTTATGGTGAACCATGTGTACCTTTGTTCTCCACTATTCGATTTAGGATCGCAGCCGTTTTTTCACCATCAATAGTGATCACTAAGATCTGCAAAAC